TTCGATCTCGACATGCTCAAAATTTTCCTCATTATGTGGTTGTTGATCATAACATTGTTGCATATTTTCATCATCTCCTGATACAACTTTGTAACTTTCTTTCTCCAATCTGACCTCAATATCAATTTCTTGAGGAACAAAAGTCTGAATTTCATCATAATTCTCCCCCTGAATTTCAAACTCAGGGGAAAAATATATCAAAGTTTCATGAAAAACTACATCTATAGTAGTAAATATTTGCTTGGTTTGTGGATTGTAGCACCAATATCCTTTCTAGTGATCCGTATAGCCAAGGAACATACACTTTTTAGCTCTAGGAGACAACTTACTTCTCTGATGTTTGTGTAAGTGAACATAAGCAACACAACCAAAAACTCTATGTGTTAGTTTAGCAATTTTAGGACTTACTACTGCATCTATAAGTGATTGAAGAGGTGTTTTATACTCAAGAGACTTGGATGGTGTTCGGTTGATAGTGTATACTGCATATGTGAGAGCTTCTCCCCAATATATTGTTGGCATGTGAGCTCCAATCAGTGCAGCTCAAACCACCTCCAATAGATGACGGTTCTTTCATTCTGCCACCCCATTCTGTTGTGGAGTATTTGGACAAGATCTCTGATAAACAATTCCTTTGGCTACTAAAAAATGTTGAAGTTCTGATTGCATATATTCTCTTACGTTGTCACTGCGCAATACCTGAACTTGTGCTTTGTACTGGGTCTCAATCATTTTGCAGAATTTCTGAAATAGTCCTCCAACTTCACTTTTAGACTTCATCAAACATAACCAAGTCATTTGAGTACAATCATCAATAAACATTACAAACCACGTTGAGCCACCCAACGTTGTAACCTTAGATGGACCCCATACATCAGAGTGAATGATCATAAAAGGAAGAGAACTTTTATTTGAAATTAAAGGAAAATATGTTCTATGACTCTTTGCAAGCTCACAAACATCATAATAAAAAGTTGAAGTGTCTACTTGGTCAAATGCATTTGGAAATAATTTCTTTATGTAACCAAAAGATGCATGTCCTAGACGTTTATGCCATAACCAAAATATCCTCGTCTTTCTTACTTCTTGAGACCCTTTTGTTGCTAGCACTTGACCAAGTCTCTTTGAATCTTTTTCTGTCAGGTCCAGGTAATACAACCTTCCTCGCCTAATACCAAAACCAATCGTCTTCCTTGTTTGAATGTCCTTAAAAACACAAGAGTCAGGCCTAAAAATTACAACACATAAAAGAGCTTTGGTTATTTGCGAGACTGACAATAGGTTATATTTAAGAGAAGGAACAACAAGGACAGTATCAAGATTCAAATTGTTTGAAATAGAGACAATTCCTTCTCCAATAATAGTGGATTTACTACCATTGGTTGTGGAAATACTTTTTTGTGAGGAAGGTTTAAGATTTTTAATCTGTCTAACATCAAAAGTCACATGATCAGAACATGGAGAGCCAATTATCCATGCATTATTCAGAATGGTAGATGTACTTATTAAAGCCTTACCATTGGAATTATCACTACCTGCGATTGTAGCAAGCATCATGCATTTGTCATCCTCTTTGTCAATGGCAGTTACAGCAGCAACAATTATATTTCTTTTTGAATTCTTCTTCGATGCTCGAATGTGATCCCACCACTCAGGGTATCCTATGATTTCATAACATCGTTCCTTGGTGTGTCCATCCTTATTACACTGAGTACACTTGTAGTTACCTTTTTCAAAATCTTTTGATTGCTTCGATTTGCTGTGATGATTTGTTGGCTGCGTCTTTGTCATCATAGTTGTGGAATCATAAATTATATCTTCTTTTTTCAACGTTGTTCGCCAGACCGTCTCTCTCCAGATCAATGCATAACATTCTTCTATATCAGGTGTCACTTTCGTACGCAAGATTTCTCCACGAACTTGCTCAAAATCATCATCCAGTCCAGCAAGGAACATATGCACCCTTAATCTTTCAATGGACTTCTGATATGACTTCACATCATCAGGGTCCTTCATGACTACTTTGTCATGATGGTCCAATTCCATAAAAATCTCAACCAACTCCCCATAATATTTAGTTAAGGTTCTATTATTTTGTTTTGCAGTGAATGTCCTTTGATTAAGGGCAAACACCTTAGCTCATCACTTCCATCATAAAATGTCTTTGACAAAGAATTCCAAATATCGAGGTCAGTGGGTAAGCGCAGATACATTTTCATGATTTCTGGCTTCATGGACATCAATAACCATCTTTTCACTTTTTTGGTTTTCAGCATACCATTTTTCATATCCCTCATCGTTCTCTGTTGGAGGCTTCACCTTCCCACGGATGTAAGACATTTTCCTCTCTCTACAATGTGCATCTCCATTAGTTGTGACCATACGTCATAATTGGATTCATTTAGGATTATGCCTATGTTGAAGACACCTTCAGATTGAACAACCATTGGAATTAGTTTTTCTATCATCTCTCCAGTTAAGATCTCCAAGGATTTAGAAAGAAAAAAAAATTATAAGCTCTGATGCCAAATTGAAAAACATAGAATTCATTCTATAATTTTTATTCATATTATTTTTGTACACAGATACTATGATCTTATAGTATTTTACTCCAACAAATCAGGACTAAATAAAGGAAATTCTGATTATACAATATTTTGTACCGTTATACAAACCTATAATTTAGCAAATCAAATATCTTTATCCCAGCATTAAGATGTTTGAGATCCTAAACATGTAAAAAATAAAACTTCTAGCGCAAACCACAATTACCACTACCAATCTAGAAAGAAACCATAAATAAACCAGAATTAACCACGTTAATGATTGTTATGCCCCTAACCAAAAATCCATTTAAATGTTTGAAGCTTTCATGTCAATCAAGAACAAAACTAACATTATCCAAAACACATTGCTTTTTTTCATCCATGAAGATTTATAATTGACAGTTCTACTTGATTGGACTAGTTCTTTTGGCTAAAGATTTAAAAACAGAACTCCATATATAGTTTGCCAAATGATATTTTTTGGAATTGAAAGAGGGAAATTAAGGTGAATGGGTTAGAATGAAAAGTCATTAAGATGCTAACATCATATTAGAAGAACAATCCAATTTTTCAAAAAAAGTGCAGAAGGGTGACAATAAAGAGATGCATTTTTAGAGAAATGTTCGTTATGTCTCATTCATGAATAACATTATGAATATTATCTTATCCTACATAAAGGAGTTATGAATATTATCTTATCCTACATAAAGGGGATTATGAATATTATCTTATTGTTATAAATATTATCTTATCCTACATAAAGAGGGTTATGAATAGTATCTTATCCTACATAAAGGAATTATGAATATTATCTTATCCTACATAAAGGGGGTTATGTGAAGAAGACGCATCCCAAACAAAGCACGAGAAGACAAGTGTGCGAGTCATCCTCTTGTAATGAGTGTTATATGCTTTAGAACTTGTATATAGTACTAAGGTATGTAGTGTGATACACAATTTGGTGTGGTTACATGGCCGTAGACAACCAAATCATGTCAATTGTTGTCTGTCGATCTTATCTTTTGGCACGTGCATGATTCCATTGGTGTTTTTCCCCCCAACAGTTGTATCAAAGCTATGGTGGGTAACACAAAAGCTAGAGATGTTGATCCAAAATTTTACAATGCAGCAAGATCACAATCTAGCTTTAAAAGATGAAAAGTAGACTTACATGCATGAAAATAAATGGAATAATATCCAAAATAAAATTGTGAGCATGATTTGGAAAAGTCTTACTATTGAGATCAAGTATCTGTTAAAGGACACAACTTCAAAGGCTAAAAGTATTTTGGTTCTTGGCCTCCACGGACATAATGAGAGGAAGGGGAAGAAATTGGTTAACTAGTGTTATAGATAGCAGATGGTAGTTTGTGGCAACTGGCACATGATGACAAAACAACATTTTGGAATGGGCTATTGGGTGGTTGTCGGACATGGTTGCCACAATTGATTGGTGTTATAGGATAAGAGGATAAGATAACTAATGTCCATTGAGTCTCATTCATGGAGTCGTGAATTTTATCCTTAAGATCATGCAAAAAATATGAAGCATCCCAATCAAAGCAAAAAAGATTGCAAGTATATGAGTGTTTTATCACTTGTGTGAGAAAGTCCACTGTAACGAGTGTGATATCATTTCTTAAAACCTGAGTGGGGTATTAAGGCATATGTACTGACACAATTCGGAATAGGCTACAATTCTTGCAATCATATTTGAGATGGAGAAACTCGTGAGACAGTTAAGTGGATGTAAGCATGAAGTGTTTGAATAAAATCAATCATTATGATTTATCTAAAATCTTTTAGGTGTGTGAGTGCGATTCTATTGGTGTGTTTTTCTCCCAACACATCATGACTCCATTTAATTCATATATTTGGTAACTCGTACTTTAAATCACCATGGGATATATTAGAATTGTAAACCAAATGCAAACGAACCCTTATAAAGTAAATAGTTATTAAAAAAAATGCACATCTATAATTGCTATATATATTTTATGTTTGCATCTACATTTCTAATTCACTCTATTTTTCAAATCTGCATATAAAAATATGAAAATGGCATAGAAGTAACTTTAGTTGGTTCTGGCTGATAAGCCACCAGAGGCAATTGACACTTTTACCAAACACACCCACAGGAATGCTAGGGGAAGGCGATTTACACAAAAAAACCTTAGGTAAAGAAAAAAAAAAGATTATCCCTCTCCCCTCAAAACCCACCTCAAAACCCAAATGAGGATGAAAACACTCCATATAAAGTTAGATTAGATGGAGCATTTCACATGTTTCCAAATCGACAACAAACAATATTTTCTCTATCTAGGCCATGTTAATTATACATTAATACCACTAAAAAAATACAGACATATGTTAATTGAAACCTTATATAAAACAACAACCAGACAAAGACTTAAAAGTTTTTCATAGAGAAACATTACTTGAGTGATACTGCATCTACATGAATATCATATCCTTCTCTACGGAAATTACATGAGTATCAGATTCTTCTCTACAGAAGAGATGATCTTCCCTAACCTGCATAAAGGAAAAGGATAAATAAATGTTTGCGCTTGTTGGAAGATATAAAAGAAAAATGGAAATGATGACCAAGCTAATAGATTGAACAGTTACAGTAACATAGAGATCACCAGGGTTATCTCCATCAGGATTTGCACCACCACTTCTATAAACCTTTATAGTTTCATTGTTGTCAACCCCTACAAATATTCAAGCATGTAAATCAGTCAAATCCATCTTCCCCAAACTTACAGAAAAAAAGCAAGACAACAAGTTACATAAATCAAAGCCAAATCCATCACACCCAAACTTATAGAAAAAAAAAACAAACTAAATGGATAGAATTAATATGAAAAAAATTGAATGTTTGCATCATACCGATACAATTTTGCCAGTTCCGTTACATGTACCACATGTACTCTCCGTCCTAAATATGCCAGTTTGTACGAGTGTCACAACATTTTCTTTATCTTGGCCATGTTAATTATACACTAATACTACTAACAAAATACAGGCATATGTTAATTGAAACCTTATATAAAACAATAACCAGACAAATGCTTAAAAGTTTTTCATAGAGAAACATTACCTGAGTGATACTTAAGATAACATTTACATAAATATCAGATCCTTCTCTATAGAAGAGAGGATCTTCCCTAATCTGCATAAAGGAAAAGGATAAATAATGTTTGAGCTTGTAGGAAGATATAGAAGAAAAATGGAAATAATGTCCAAGCTAATAGATTGAACAGTTACCTTGATAGTAACGTAAAGATCACCAGGGTTATCTCCATCAGGATCTGCACCACCACTTCTATAAATCTTTGTAGTTTCATTGTTGTCAATCCTTGCAAATGTTCAACTATGTAAGTCAGTCACCCCATGTTGTTCTTTTCACTCCCATAATTAATAAAATCATAATCAATAAAAAGATAGTCAAACCCCAACATCACTCAAAATTATTAAAAGGTCAGTGTGATCAAAAGCATAAACTTTACTAGTGTAAAATATCGTAACTTCTTTATGTTTTTTGTTTTTTGTCAGATTAATACCATGGCAAAACTCAAATTTAGTAGTTGATCTCTTCCTATCTTCCACAAACAAATTTTATTCAGAAAAGCTAGATAAAGAAAATCCATAGGGAAACTATTCTTTCATTTGAATTTTTTCATTGCAACGTGTAAGCCATATGAATATGATTCACATAATAACAATGCATTGTCAAATTTAAAATGGTTACTAGCCATAATAACCAATTTGATTGATTTTGTTGCTTTGATAACCTTTGCACCTTTGCATAACTTGCAGATCTGACACCAAAAAGAAAAGAATGATTGGTATGAAAAACTAGTACAATTACATGAATATGATGAACCTATAGTATTCATTGTATAATTTATCTATAAAAACGATTGAAATAGGATATAAAAAAAACTTTAAATAAGGATTGCTGCTAGATAAGAATGAAAAAGTAACAATAAAAAGCAAGACAACAAGTTACATAAATCAAAGCCAAATCCATCACACCCAAACTTACAGAAAAAAAAACAAACTAAAATGATAGAATTAATATGAAAAAAATTGAATGTTTGCATCATACCGATACAATTTTGCCAGTTCCCTTACATGTACCACATGTACTCTCCATCCAAAATATGCCAGTTTGTACGAGCATCTGAACATATAATAAAAAGCCATCAGCTTAACATCATTACATAATAATAATAAAAAAAGTACATTATTAAAAAGGTTTATTTAAGACACGCCTGACCCTTTACAGCGCTTACAAGTTTGAGGTCTTGTACTAGGAGGAACACCACTCCCACTTGCAACATTCAAGAAAGAGAAAGAATTGGTCACCTTCCAGGTGCACATACCTTGAAAACTAAACTACATATGGCAGAGATAGCTAATAATTAATCATTGTCGCCACCGTCCGTTCCGACATCCAGGGACATCTCGAACGTTTATGCGAGCGATCGCGAAAAGATGGTTTAGACTCGCGTTTTATGTTAAAATGTGTTCATTGCTTCCGAGGTGTTCAACAACGGAACTATCCTCTAATAAAAGCAAGGTTTTCGAAAAGGGGTTCTTATGGAGTCGCCACCAATGTTTTGACCGTAAACATTGGAAAAGGATAAAAAGGCGTTGATTTTAATAAAAACCAACTTGACCATTATAACTAGAGTTGGGTAAGGGAGTTAGTTACGTGTGGGGAAGGTGTTAGCACCCCACAACGCCCCTTTTGGGTTCCCTATGACGGATTAATTCATTAAGTGAAGATTACGAGAAATTACGCTATTACCCTATTTTATTTATATCATATTAAAAATGGCTATCTACATGACTTTATTTCATATTGCATACATAAAGCAATAAATAAAGCAGTAAAAGAGAAGAGAAGTGAAAAGAACATCCGTAGCAAGCTTTGTATTACGAATCTTTAACTATGAGGATGCGTTTTGGCAATCCCCCGCTCTACAAAGACTCTCCTCCCCGAATACAAGATTGACTCTACTAAATTTTAAAGAAGAATCGAATGCCGGAATATAATTCCTTAACTGATTGTTACCTTTTTAAGGCAATCAGAGAGTTAATTCGAAGTAGGAAGAGAAGACAAGTACTTGGAGTTGTCTGGGGTGTTGAAAAGTGACAAATGAGCCTCCTATTTATAGTTTTCGCAGCCTGGCAGCTTGGGACGACCGTCTGAAGCTTGGAAATCAAGGATGAGCGTCTGGGGAAGTCAGGACGGCCGTCCCAAGCAGCAAAACCAGTTGGGACGACCGTCTGGAAGTTGGGACGACCGTCTCGACATGTGGGACGGCCGTCCCAACTTCTGGGACGACCATCTCAACTGTTTTTGCCAGCATTTGTGTTCTGGGACCCCCGGGAAGCTTTCCTTTCTTTATTCGGACGTCGATTGTGCCGATAGACGTCCATTGAAGCTTTATCTTCATATAGGAAGTCTTCTTGGCCTATATTGAGATGTCGGGCAAGCTTTATCTTGTTTATAGGAAGTCTCCTTTAGCCTTTATTGAGAGGCCGGACAAAATTAGGGGTCTACAGCTGCCCCCCCTTCACCTGCCTGACTAATTGTTGGCCTAATGTGCCGACAAAATTAGTTGGTAAGGGAAGGAGTTAACCCTTTTTGCCCTGTCATCCTTCGGATGCTCCTTTGCTGAAGTTGCTGATCCTCTGGATGATAAATGCAATATGATGTTGTCTTCAGGATGCTTCCTTGCTGGGGAAGCTGATCCCTCAGACGATATGTGTGAAGCTTCAGGATGCTCCTTTGATACGGTAGTTGACCCTTCGGCTAGTGAATGAAGATTTTTCCCTTAGGATGCTCCTTTGATGCGGTAGCTGACCCCTCGGATAATGAATGTGAACTTCCAGGATGCTCCTTCGATGCGGTAGCTGATCCTATGGTTGATGAGTATGAATTTCGTAGCTTTGGGATGCTCCTTCGATGTGGTAGCTGACCCCGTAGCTGACGAGTGTGAAGCCTCAGGATGCTCCTTCGGAGAGGTAGCCGATCCTTCGATTTGTAGGATGCTCCTTTGGTGACGAGGCCGATTCTTTGATTTGCAGGATGCTCCTTCGGTGAGGTAGCCGATCCTTCGATTTGCAGGATGCTCCTTCGGTGAGGTAGCCGATCCTTCGGTCTACAGGATGCTCCTTCGGTGAGGAAGCCGATCCTTTGATTTGCAGGATGCTCCTTCGATGAGGTGGCCAATCCTTTGATTTGCAGGATGCTCCTTCGGTGAGGTAGCCGATCCTTCGGTTTGTAGGATGCTCCTTTGGTGAGGAAGCCGATCCTTTGATTTGCAGGATGCTCCTTTGGTGAGGTAGCCGATCCTTCGGTTTGTAGGATGCTCCTTTGGTGAGGAAGCCGATCCTTTGATTTGCAGGATGCTCCTTTGGTGAGGTAGCCGATCCTTCGGTGTGCAGGATGCTCCTTCGGTGAGGAAGCCGATCCTTCGGTGTGCAGGATGCTCCTTCGGTGAGGAAGCCGATCCTTTGGTTTGCATTTGCTAGATTCTTGTGGGTACTTTCCCCCACTATGTTCGAGTTCGCACTTGCTATCCTCGAGACGAGCCCCATTCTACAAGGCTCTTAGGATGCTCTCTTTGGCAGTCAATCTTTTGATGAGTACAAACCCTCATCCGGTTTTAAAGATGTATTGGCGGCTTACTGTTTTTTATCATGCGCCCATTCATGGGGAATGCTTGATTTTTCTTTCTGACTTTTTTGTTAGTCATCCGATTTTGCCGGGGATTCTTTGTTTTTGGCTTTTCTTGTTTAGCCATCCGGCTTTGCCGGGGATTCTTTGTTTTTGGCTTTTCTGTTTAGCCATCCGGTCTTGCCGGAGATTCTTTGTTTTTGACTTTTCTGTTTTAGCCATCCGGTCTTGCCGGGGATTCTTTGTTTTTGGCTTTTCTTTTTAGCCATCCGGTCTTTGTCGGGGTTTATTGATGATTGCCTCTTAATTTAGGCAGGAATCCTTTGAGGATTGGTTGATTTCTTGATTGTGCCTCTTGTTTTTTAGGCAAATGCTTTAGCAGTGGTGAAGACTTTTCTGTTTTTCACCTCTGAATAGGCTGATGTTCCGCTTGAGAATATTTGCTCTTGATAAAACCTCTGAGTAGGCAGATGCTTTTATTGGAAGCTTTGTGTTTTGAACTTGTATTGCCTCTTATATAGGTTGATTTCCCGTTTCTTGGGGATATCGGCTTTTTGCTTGCCTTAGGCATAGGCTTTCTTGGGAGTGAAGGCTTTGTATTTCACTGGGGATATTCATATTAAGCGTTATAGACGATTAACTCCCTGAGAATATGAATTTGTATTTTGCCTCTGTCGGTAGGCTCGTTGGGGATTTCTCTTTTTGGTGATCCACCAGGGATTTGATCGTTTTCCGGAGATCTATTTTGAATTGCCCCCTTAGGGAGGAATGGAGTTTTTGACTCCTTATTGGATGTTGTTGTTTGAGCTGGCTTTGCCTATGCTTTTATTCCTGCTGGGGAATGAGTTTTTATCTTTTTCTCGCGATTTGTATCTCTTTTTCGCGATTCTTGAAAATTTGGCTTTTAAATATGTGCGTCTTTTATGCACATTTGGCTTTTTCTTCTATTGGACGAAAAGATTTTTTTTTTCTCTTTTCTTTTTGGCAATCCAGGGAGTTTATTGACTTCCTGGGGATCCAATCTTTGATTTGATTTTTTATGATGGAGTCTTGAGCTCCTGACTTTGTGAGGCTCTTTATTGAGCGGAATGAAGAAATTTTCTTCTTTTTCTCTTTTTGGAGATTCACCAAGGAGTTTGTTAGTTTCCTGGGGATCCAACTTTGATGATGGAGTCTTGGCTCCTGACTTTTGTGAAGCTCTTTATTGAGCGGGATGAAAAGATTTTCTTCTTTTTCTCTTTTTTTGGAGATTTGCCAAAGAGTCTGTCGGCTTCCTGGGGATCCAACTTTGATGATTTTTTGATGATGGAGTCTTGGCTCCTGGCTTTGTGAAGCTCCTATTTGAGCTGGAAGATGGAAATTTTCTTATTTTCCTCTTTTTGTAGACTTTTCTTAACATGCTCTACTTGGAGATTTTTTATTCGGCCTTTTTTTGTTGTGGCCTCTATTGGGTAATGAAAAGTTTTTCTTTTCTTTTTGTTGCCCCTTGGTGATATGGAGGATTTGACTCCATATTTTCTTTGATGAACTTCTTCTGTAGTCCTTATTCTCCTTTGGGGAATGAGGCGGAGATTCTTGCATGAGTGCTTGATGACCCATGTGGTGATGCCGCTGAGTCGTGAGGTAATCTTTTTGTTTTGCCTCTAGAGTAGGCAAGGATCCTCTTGGGGATGATCAAGCCTTTCCGTTGGCTTTTCTATTTGGTGCACCTTCGTTTATTGGGATAGAAGGTTAAAGCTACTTTCCTTGAAGCTCTTTATTCTGCTGCAATGGTTTTGATTCCGCCTTTTCTTTCTTGAGGGAATTTTTATTTGGAGACTGGATTTTGGCGCCTCCTGTTTTCAACCACAAGTATGGAGACTATCGTCCTTATATGCATGTTTATTATTCTTGTTTGAAGAAAAATATTTTTTCTTTATTTTGACAAAGTCGTATTTATGCAACTACTTTGTGTGTGGATGTCCTAAATGCAATCTACTGTTTATTTATTTTTGATGCATTTAGAAAGTAACTGGCCTTCTCCCGTTGGCTTCTTATGAATACGCCGATGGGCTCCTTTTTATTCATCTTTTGGTTTTGGCCCTATCTTTTGCCTAGATCGCCCTTTACGAGTTTTCGATCTAGCAGACCGCCTTAATTTTTGCCTAGAATATCTTAGGGGGCTTTTGCCTTATCTTTTGCCTAGATCGTTCTTTTGAGGTTTCTGATCTAGCAGGCTACCCTAGTTTTTTCCTAAAAATATCCTAACAGGCATTTATTCCTTCATTATTTTTTATGCTTCCTCTTTTTAGATGCATGCTTGATCTTTGATTAAAGGTCTTTGTGCATATTTATGATTTATCAATAAAGAGACATTTCCATAATATTTGGTCAAGAGAAAGGAAATGAAAAGGAATTTTATTGATAAATGAGCAAAAGTTTTATTTCTTTTATAGAAGGATTTCAAAAGGTATTTAGAAGAATGGGTGGTCAGGGTTGACTATACTGTATAGGCTTAAACAGTCATGTCCATGATATCTGCCCCCTGGTTCTCCTAATTGCTTCAGTTGAGATGTCTGAGCTCAGAGTGAAGACTATGCAGACTGCTTGCTTCTGGAAGAATGTTACCTTAGCCGCCTTTCGGTTTTCGACTGAGGTAACCATTGCTCTTAGTTAGTTTTTTTCTTTTTTCTTTTTTTTTTTACCTCTACTT